CCCCAAAAGCAATCATAGCATCAACAAAAATAAATAAATATGACATGATCAAATTAAAAAGCTTCTGCACAGCCAAAGAAACTATCACTAGAGCAAATAGACAACCTACAGAATGGGAGAAAATATTTGCATGCTACACATCACAGAAAGGGTTGATAACTAGAATCTATAAAGAACTCAAGCAAATCAACAAGAAAAAAAATCAAACAAGCCCATTAAAAAAAGTAGACAAAGGACATGAACAGAAACTTTTCAAAAGAAGATAGACTAATGGCCAACAAACATGAAAAGAATGCTCAACATCTCTAATCATCGGGGAAATGCAAATCAAAACCAGAATAAGGTATCACCTAACTCCAGTGAGAATGGCTTTTATCAAAAAGACCAAAAATGACAAATGTTGGCATGGATACAGAGAGATGGGAACACTCTTACACTGCTGGTGGGACTGCAAACTGAGATAATTTCAGGCTGAGGGAATTTCTTTCACTTTCTGGATTACTTAGAGATTTTTTAATCATAAATAGACAAATTTGCTAATTTTTGCAAATCTATTTTGACGTTCCCATTACTTCAAACATTTATCTTTTCTTTGTGTTGGGGACATGTTACTCTTCTACCATGAAATATATAATAAATTAACTATAGTCTCCCTACTGATTTATAATATCAAATATTAAAATTTATTTCTTCTATCTAACTGTATATTTTTACCATCTTATATGCACAGTAGACTGGAAGGCAGGGAATATCAACAGATAGCCTGGTAAGGACAAATTGAGTCATGAAGGGACATTTGTGCCACAACAAAAGTTAATATTTTAATATGTAATGGAAAAAATTAATTTTCATTTTAAAATAAAAATCTGATCATCGGATTCCCCTACCACTTCATGGATACATCTATTAGTGCTCCTTGTGTTTTATTTTGGTTTTGGTTTATTTGTCTGTATTTCCTACCAGGCATCAGGATGCTCAACGACAAGGACTGCAGATTTTCATCCTCTGTATGTCTCCCAGTACATAGTAGGGGAATGTCCTTGAATGAAAGATCTTAGAGTTGGATGGCCACTTGAATGCACTTCCATTGATAAGATTTTCCAATTCTAAAATTATAATTCCTAAGAACTTTTGGGGGATGAGATAATCGGAGGTGGAAATAGTTTTTATATTGCATTTCAATCTAATTAAGATCTCACTAGGAGGGGATTTGTGTGGGGAGGGAGGGTTCTGACAATGTTTCTTCTGTTTTTCCTCCCCAGATAAGTCTTTGTTTACTTCAATGTACATGGTCTAGTTGTTACCATTTGTTTAAATATCCAAGTAACTGAATCCTTGGAGCAGGGCAGTTGAACCCATTTGAATGATACTACAGAGGTTTGTTTTCTTCAACTGTACTGCACTAATTTTGAAGATCAAGGGTTAAATAAGTGTTATATGAACTTCTATGTATTTTTGTTTGTTTACTTATTCATAAATGTAGCCCAGATTCTCCAAAGAAACTTAGAAAATCATTCAATAATGAAATACTTTCTTCGTTTTCCTTCTAGATAACATGAAAGAGGATAAATTTAAATTGGATCTAACTACTCTTTCCCATCATTGTAATGTTTATAAATTATACTTTTGATCTGCATTGCAAATACTACACAATATAATTTAAAATGTAGTTACCAGGCTTCTTAAAGGTATGCCAATACAAAATAAATTGTGTAACCTTTCTAATACTACAAAATGTAATAAAATCATTACATGTTCTCCAGTAATGACATATCAAAGGAACTCTTTTGCCCACTCATCATCTGCGGATGTGCTGAGGAACACTTTACGATTAAAAAAATAGTCTTGATTACATTTCATGGATATTTTGATCACTTAAATTAAATCATTTAGGGGCAACTGTTTTTGCCTATGCATGCAGTGAGGGGGCATTCATGTATACCTGTGTTTTCCAGAATGTAGACATCGTTATATGCAAATATAACTATGTGGAGACTTTATTCAAGAATGCCCCCCACAATAAAAAGTACAACAAAAATGAGAATCACTGTGCCTTGACCAATGAACTCACCATAAACTATATAGTTCAAACACAATTTCTGAAGATTTATTGTTTACTTTTGAGACACTTGGACTAGGAGATTTTTTTTCCTTCAGCTCAGTGTTGGCCCTACACACTTCCCATCACTCTAGATCACAATACGTATCCAGTGTAAATGAAAGATGATTCCAATAGTCCACTATTCAGGTCCCAGTAAATTGATACTTACCCTAAAAAAAAAAAGGTAATGTTTGCCAAAAATAGCACATCAGTACATCATTGTATTTTGTTCACAGACTTCTCACAGTGTTTTGCAGTTTCTGTATATACAGCTTCCTGTTTAGTTTTCCACGATCTGGGCATGTCATTGTTTTCAGGATTCGAAGGGATCTGGTCCTGTTTGGAAGTGGCAGAGGCGTGTGTGGAGGATGTGGTCTGTAATGCGCAGTTGGCCCCTTACCTTAAAGCTTGTTCAGCAAATGGAAATCCGTGTGATGTGAAACACTGCCAAGCAGCCATACGGTTCTTCTATCAAAATATGCCTTTTAACATTGCCCAGATGTTGGCTTTTTGTGACTGTGCTCAATCTGATATACCTTGTCAGCAGTCCAAAGAAGCTCTTCCAGGCAAGCCATGTTCAGTGAACAGAGTTCCACCCCCTACTTGCCTCAATGTAATTCACAGCTGCCGAAATGATGAATTATGCAGGTGAGTAAAAACATGCATATCTTACTTTCTTATTTGGGCACCTTATTTGTTACAGTCCAGTCCTAACACTTGATCTCATTACATCAAGAGTCCCCTCATCCAACATGGTGTAAATAAAGCCAGACAATTCATATTTTGAATCTGTGGTACATGTGTAATATCCTTTTGAAATTCAAATGCAGAATAGGTTTTTTCGGAATAAAGAAATACAGTATGTCAAACTTTGGTAGTCGTAAAATAGTTATTAATGAAATTATATATTCAACATAGACTAATGAATTGGTTAATAGACCTGGCTTGTAGATCTACTTTTTAATATGCTTTTTGGTGTGATTATATAAGGCCGTTAAATGTCGTAGAATTTTGGCAAAGTGACTCCTCAAACTTCAAAATAAATCATTTCTGTCTAAGGCTGGAGCTCAGGAAGAACAATTTGGACATCCCTGGCATACATGTATGCCATGATGTTAGAAATCTATCCATTGTCCTCTTCCCAACTTCGAGCATTTAATTCTCAGGGCAGTAATGTCAGTCATTTACTTGTTCATTCAGAAGAAATATTAATCAAGTACTTACTACTACTCTAGGAAACAGTGAATAAGAGACACACATGCCTGTCCTGCAGAAAGCAATAGGAGATGAGGTGGGGAATTTAACAGGGTAGGTGTGGGGAAGCATAGGCCATGTAGGGCCTTAAGGGACACTGCAAGGACTTCAGCTTTTACTCCAAGTAAAATGGAGAGGTACTGGAGAATTTTTAGCAGAGTTATGAATGATCTGCCTTCCTTGCTAAAAGTTTTATTCTGGCTGCTAGCCGAGACTAGACTGTACCTATTCAGGTAACCACTCTTGTGAACCATAGATTTAGTCCAACACTCTTTGGCTTTTTTCTTTTCTTTGTTAGGGTCTTCATTAACACATTTTGTTATATATTCAAGATGAATTTATCTTTTGTGTGGTCAGAAATCCACAGTTAAGTGCACCCTTTTGGACAAGAGCAAGAAAAGATGTAGGAAAGAATAACTTTGATGAGTCACAACTATTTGTAATATTGATGTTATCATGTGGAAGGAGCTTTATTTAACAACCAGCATTAAACCATATAATTTTGGATTCATCTTTTGCATCTTTTTTGAGTAATGCTTTACATTTATTTCTGTCCTTAGTGCCTTCTATTAGGGACTGTTTTACTTAATTTTACATAAATGAATAAAACTTCATATATATCAAATTCATTTAAAGATCAAAATAGACATTTTGTATGGAGGAATAGCTCAGTGTGTGATAGCTTAGAGCAAAGATTTGGTGTATTTGTCACCTTGCTTCAACCAGTGGCAAAAGACTAAAATATTTAATGATATCAACTTCCTGAAGGTTCTTGATAAACTGCTTTCTTTTATCTTTTTAACTCTGTAGACTCTCTTAACCTTGGTCATTCTAACTTGGAAAGTAGTTCCAGATCTTGTAAACATTTGTCAAAAAAGATGACTGCTTTCCTAAACCACACATTCTATGAAATAAAGGGTAAAGATCTAAGCAGAGTGCTGGAGTGTTGACATTGCTTCAACTAATCCTCTAGGATGTCAAGGTTCTTAAGAAAATTTTATTTAAGGATCTTATCATTGCAAATGTGTATCAGTTATTTTAAGGCTCATTAATTATTCTTCTTGAGTGAATAATAAAGGCAATGATAAAATAATTTTATAGTGCAATTTATATTTTTCAAACTCATCATCTCAAAAAATTCTTATTAGAGAAATTGATTCTAAGATGTAATTTTTTAACACATTTTAACCTCCCGGACATATTTGGAATGAATCTTAAGGTCAATGACAAGGAAACATTTGTCAGAATTTAAGCGCCAACAAATGTTTTTTGTTATACATAAAATAATGATATCTCCTACATTCAATGAAATATGTTAAATGTTTGATTACACTACTTTTCTTACCACAAATAAACTATTACTGTCTATGTATCTAGGTATCTATCTGCCTATCTATCATCTACACTAACAATGAAACCTAATAATGTTTTAACCAGCCAGGGCCAGGGAAGACTATTTTTTTTGTTTCAAAATATTAAGGGAGTATAAATGTTTTTATTACGTAGATAGCTTTTATAAACCTTAAGCAGGGCTATTAGCGTGCCCAACACCCTAATAGGGTTCATTTTACCTGATAGGTAGGTTTTTACCTCCCCACTCTCTCTGCCTTTTTGATTTCCAATGACCTTCACATCTCTCTGTGCACATGTGTGCCCATCGATCAGTTACAAATTATTAGAGTACATGTGGTGTTTGTTTTTCCATTCCTGAGATACTTCAGTTAGGATAATGATCTCTAGATATACTACCTAATTATCCTGAAGCATTCAACCTTTAGAGCATATTTCTGAGCTTCCATATCAAATAAAATATTTTGTGATGTGAGTTCTAGAACAGGATAGGCACTACAAAGATGTTATCTTATTTCCCTCCACTTTTAAATATCATGCACTCAATTTTTGTACTAATATTTTGAAGTATGTATATACATCTCTTCTTACGTAATTTCTTTCTTAGATTAGTTCAGAGAGTAAGGACTGTGTGTCTTCAATTTCCTTTCACCATGTGTGAATAGTCCTTTAATAAGTACTTTATAGAAGTGATGGAAATATTATTGAATACTGGCAGCCATCATGAAAAGGCAAATCCTATCATTTTCCTAAGGAAATTTTGCCTTGGGGAGATGTCCAGCATTCATATTAAATTATTGCTAATGTAATTCAGATGAAAAAAAAAAATCTCCAAATGGAAAACCACTCCTTCAGTGAGGATGATAAGCCCTTTATCACTTGCCTTTTTTGCAGAAGAGCCTGTACTTGGGCAAAGCAGGGCACTCTGGTTTTAAAATGGAATTTCTATCATTTGTCCAGAATCCTCAATTCATGATGAGTTTTGACATTTCTTTATTTTTTGAAAAAGCCAAAGAAGGCTATATAAAGGCAATTTCTCAATTAATTTTGTCCAATACAGATACCAACTGGGAAGTGAGAGTATATTTTGCCAATTTTATAGAAATTTATGAATTTATATAAAGTTACAATACATTATATTTGCATATGTGTGAACTCAAAAAAGTAGTGAAAGAAAGCATTTGCTTAGAAAAAATTCTAACCACTTTTTAAAAGCAAATTTCCATAATACACTCATTTATTTAGAATGGTATGAGAGAGACATTTAAAAAATGTGGCTATATATTAGGTTACAAAGGTAAATGTAAAACATTCCATGTGCAGAAATTACACAGAGCACATTTTCTTACATTTTGCATTGTAAATGGAAATTAAAAGAAAGAATAAAAACAAAATACTATACTCAATTCCTCATAAAAATTATTCTTTTAAATACTTCATTGTTTGAACAAACCAAAACTAAAAATTGCAGAAAAATCAAGAAAATACAGATAATGAAAACATTGCACCTCAAAACATTTCAAACCTAAAATAAAAGTTTTTAATATAAATTTTTTGTCACATTTAAACATTTAAATTTCAAATGATTTAGGTATCCAGTGTACTAAAGTGTTTTATAAAAATTTTTAATTAAATATTCTTTAGTTTATTCTTTTAGCAATATTTCATGACATTTTATGAATGAAATAACTTCCACCAGTAGATAAATCATGAGCTTAAATTTCGTAAAATACATATTTAATAAAGAATAAATAGCATCTAGATGCAGGTTTATTCCCTACCTTCTAAATGACAATTGACATTTTCAAAACTCAGATGACATCCTGTGTATAACTCTTAATTGCATTAAAGGAACATATTTGTTCTTCTGGCCTCAGAATTATATGCTAATAAATTTGTTGTATTATTAATTATAAATTTTAATATATAGCAATTAATTTCCTTTATATTAAATTTTAATTTATTTAAATATATTTAATCCAATACATTTGAATATGTAGTGAAATGTTAATATATTTAATTATATTAAAATTTTATAATAATGAATTTATTAATTTTAATAATACTAATAAATATAATTTCATTATATTAAAAAGTTTATCATTTAAGATGACTTAAACAGATTATTATAAACAATGTGGCTTTGTCTTTTTAGCAGGGTTGCTACTAAATATAGACAAATAAGCTCATGACAAATGTCATGTACTTATAGAGATTTCATGCATGTTTGATGGTGACCTATTTAAGAAAAAGTAAAAAGTAATTTTAGGTGATGAATATTTAAGTTGGAAGATTATTACTATTATTATTATTACTATTACTATTATTACTATTACAGAGAGTATCAAATGTATAGTCAGAAAACTTATGAATGGATATAGTTCTAAAGGATTATCTTGGCCATTAAATAAACTCATAATGTTTTGCTTCACATTAGCTCTTGCTGCCAGAGAACATCAAAGCATATTGTAAATTCGAATTAGTCTGCTTAGAAATGTTGAGAAAGTGTACAGTACTTCCCATCCTGTGGGATAACTGACTTGAAAGGTCGAACGTGTTATTTGAAATCACTTAGTGTGAGACAGTAGCCAAATGCTAGCCACAAAGCTACATTCAGCTTGAAAATCGCTAATAAATCTCTCAAGTAGTTCATACTGCAAATCATCACCCATGGAAATAACATTAGTAATGAAGGAAAATCCAGAGTAAACTTAGCCTCTGTCTTGCATCACAATAGGGCAATAATTCACAAGTTTCCTCTGCTTTTTCTTCCACGTTTTCTATTGGGATGTTTGAATGTAAAAATTTAGTTTTCAAGTATGTACTGGCATCCAGGAGGTATTTTGTTTTATATCAGTCTTTCACTAGGTGAGGAAGCATCACATGTTAAGGTGAAATAATGTTATTCGGAGGCTAATTCCTTTTCTTCACTCTTTATCTAGGAGGCGCTATAGTACGTTTCAATCAAAATGCTGGCAGCATGTGACTAGAAAGTGCCATGAGGATGAGACCTGCATCAGCACCTTAAGCAAACAGGACCTCGCTTGCTCAGGAAGTGATGACTGCAAAGCTGCCTACATCGGTACCCTTGGGACAGTCCTTCAAGCGCAGTGTACCTGCAGGACCGTTACACAAAATGAAGAATCTTTGTGCAAGATTTTCCAGCATATGCTTCGTAGAAAATCATGTTTTCGTAAGTTCCCCAAATAAAATTCTCTCTCTCTCTCCTTCTCTCTTTCTCTCTCTCTCTCTGTATGTATTAACATATATGTGTATACACACACACACATACACAGATGTATATCTTATTTTTGCCTATACAGTACAAAGTGGTAATCCAGTACAGAAAGTTTGTTCACAAAGACATTTTTGTGTTTGTCATTGCATTTGAAATATATCTTTTGATTATGTTCTATGTATTTGCTATTTTTCTCATCTAGCGGAAAGTGGTACAATTTTTAAAATTGATAGGTCACTCTCAGTTATCATTTATTGATTTCAATGTCAACAGCACAGGTCGTTGGGGGTGTTAACCACCCCAAAAGTTAATGGCTTAAGACAATAACCATTCATTTGCTCGCAATTCTGGACTGAGCTGAATGGTTCCTCTTATGGTCTTGTCTGGGATCGCTCATGTAGCTGTAGTAATCTGGTGGCTCTTACTCAGGTTGAATACTCCAAGATGGTGTTGCACATGCACCGTTGGCTGGGATGATGGAGCATGCGCCGTTGGCTGGGTTTTACACATGAGAGGGAAACTGAAATATTAAATGGCTTGCCCAGGATTCTACACTGGGTTGCAGTACACTCATGACCCTGGCTGGCTGACTCGGACCGCACTACGTTCTCCTGCTTGTGAAATGGTGATAAAAGCAATCTTGTGTCTGTTCAGTACACTCCAAAGATGGATAAGTCATAACCTCATAGTTCTGTTCTCACATCAAAGCTTTGAAAATCCCTTGTCTGTTCCCGTGTGCGGGACTAGACTCAGGCAGAAGGGCGTCCCAAGCAAACCGCGTTCTGCCACTTACCTGCTGACCTCCAGATTCACAACAGACGTACATTTCTGTGATAGTCTGAGAATTTGCACAGAGTAAGTTTGTGCCAGTTTCAACTGATAGAGAAATGAGAAAAATGGAAGACAGAAAAATTGGTTAATAGAGAGGACCATAGAAAAGGAAAGGATTAAAGTATCCATTATTGTGTTTCTCCCACTATATTGAAGGAGTGGGGAGGGAGTACCTTGAGCTGATAGGGGTGTTCTCTTTTTGCCTTGCCCAGAGCTGTCTTTTAAAACACCTGCTGTAGTCACTTAAAAGAGATATGGAAATATCACCATACAGCCCCTAAAGACTCATCTCCTTGTGTTTGAAGAATTTAATGAAGAATAAAAGGGAGAAGGAAGAGGAGGAGAAGAGGGAAAAGAAGAGAAAGAAGAGGAAGGAGAAGAAAGAGGAGGACAAGGAGAAAAAGAAAGAGAAGGACAAAGAGAAGAAGGAGAGGGAAACAGAGAGAAGAGAAAGATGGAGGGGAAGAGGGAGGAGGAAGGGGAAGAAGAAGAAGAAGAAGTAGAAGACCCGTCTCTAGTAAATCTTACAGGGGAGGGAAAACAGCAATTGAAATGTGATACATGCTTAAACAAATGTAAAGAATATAGAAATGAAATAAATTCTTCCCTCAATTCCATCCTTATGAGATAGCCAATATTAAAAAAAATTGCTGTATATTCTTTTGAACTTTTTCTTTACTTGCAATACACATATACCTTGAATACCATGTATATATCCAAAGACATACCTCCCTCACCCTGACCCATGCACACACACTCACACACACAAATGTTTTAAGGAAATCGAACTATACATAATGCTTTACAGCATGCTTCTTAAACTTAAAAAGATGTGGTAGACCCATTTGCAAGTATGTACCTGTATGGTGGCTTAATTTTTTTTAAGGACTGCATAGTATCCTATAGTATAGCCATACTGTAATTGTTAGCTAATCTCCTATTATTATGGACAGTTCTCGATCTTTGCTAAGCATAAGAATCACTGAGCTATTAAAAATTTTCATGCCCAATAAACCAATAAAATAATATTCGATGGTAGCAGGACTTGGGTATCAGTAGGAACAGCTTCATGGGCATGTGGCCAGTGCAGTTACAAAAGGCTCTGTGCTCAGAAGCACCCCAGGCTTGGAGTTCAATGTTCTACAGTCATTGTCTTGAAATTCTTAGTAATTTTATCTTTCACTTTGTGTTTCCCAAATGAATCCAGTGGGACAATGGAGCATGTGACAGGTGGCCAGGAGCCTCTGCTTATATGTGTTTCTGTCTCCTGCCACTTCCCCTCTTCCCAGGGACAGTCAGGTTCTCAGCTGCCTGATCCCCACCCTCTGATGCCCTGGGCCATGCCCAGCACCCCTCCACTTCCCCACCTGTCTACTATGAGACAACACAACATTTGGATTAAACATCACGCAACATCCTGGCCTTTGAGCTGGTGGTTGTGACTGGATCTAAATTTTGGAAATATTGAGATGTCTCCCTTAGAGAAGGGGTAAGTGTATTCTCTATGTGAACAGAAGAATGAAACGTATATTTGGCAAAAGAAAGGGCCAACTGTCGCAGAGACTTACATGGTGATTAATAGTTGCCTTTCCTCCTGGAACAAAGCTATATTCTCCTTCCCAGCTTCCCCTGAGATAGATGTGGCCACATGACTATGTTGGGGCTAGTGGATTATGGGTGTGTATGATGTGTACTATTGCCACTACCACACCATAAAATGCTCCTTTGTGAATGTGGGACATGCTATATTCACAGACTTTTTGCAAGAACACTGGTGGCTTCTTTGGCAGTGTAATCTCTTAAAAATGTCTTAACTTTCTGATATATTTGCTTTTGTCAGTTACATGTGCCAGTATGCACAATAAAAACATACTTTCTTGACTTAGTTCCCAAGTCACTCTCTTAGCTTTTTTCAAACATATAATATATCATCATTGACTATAATCACCATGCTCCATAATAGATCTCTTGAACTTATTCCTCCTGTCTAACTGTAATTGTGCATTTTTTGACCAATGACTCCCCAACAACCCCAGCTTCTGGTAACCACTATTCTACTCTCTTCATCTATTAGATCAAATTTTTTAGATCCCACACGTGGGTGATATCATGCAGTATTTGTCTTTCTGTGCCTAGCTTATTTCACTTAACATAATGTCCTCCAGGTATATCTATATTTTTGTAAGTAACAGGATTTCCTTCTTTTTTACAGTTGAATAGTATTCTAGTGTGTATGTATGGCACATTTTCTTTATCTATTCATCCCTTGGTGGACTCTTGGTAGGTTGATGCCATATCTTGGCTATTGTGAATGGTGCTGCAATGAACATGGAGTGCAGATGCCTCATCAACATACTGATTTCATTTCCTTTGGATATATATCCAGTGCTGGATCATTTTTTAGTTCTATTTTTAATTTTTTTGAGTAAACTCCATACTGTTTTCCATAATGACTGTACTAATTTATATTCTCACCAACAGTGTCCTAGGAGTTTTTATATTAAGTTTTCACTAAAGCCAGCTCGTTCCCCAACTCTATTGGTAAAATTTTTCCACTATTAATGGAGAAACTTATGGTCACAAAGATAATCCCAAACTATTGAGTATTAATGGACATTGAATTCTTACATATGACTAGTCCTCAAAAATATCTAGAGAATGTGTTTAAAACATAGATATTCAGGCCTAACCCCAGTAATTCTAATTCAGTAGGCCTGAGGTGGAGCTCAGAAACCTGGATTAAAAATATCACCCAGGTGGTTCTGATTTTCCACCAAGTTTGGGAGCCACTGCTCTACTCCACATATGGGAAAAGCCCAGTCACCAGTTGTAGGTCTCTGAGCCCCTTTTCACTCACACCTCTCAGGGAATGAGAAACATCTGTGTTCAGAAAGGCAAGACTAATAAGACTAATACCATGCAGCTCTCAAGGTGGCCTGTGTCACCTCAGTACCCCAAAACAACTGTTGGTACACATTAGCTACTCAAATCATGAATGAATTAATTAATGAATGAGTGAATAAATGAATGTCTACCATATCTCTATGGTAGCACTGTTCTTGAATACCATTGTTTTTCTTTTCCTTGTTAGACCTCCCCTAATGATACAGCTTCCTTATTAAAAGCCTCAATCCTTTATGTTTCCACTTAAGCTGGAATTTTTAATTCAAATATTTGTGCAAAAGAATCAGGAGTTAACAAGACCAGGCTGCTACCGTTCACTTTAATAAAAACATTTCAAGCCTTATATTTTCCACCACTTTTCCTCTTTATAGATCTACTTTCAAAAAGTCTGAGTGGTAGGAAAGTATTTTACAGTTGATCCTTGAGTGGTGTTAACATGGTAAATAAGCAATGGATAATATATTTTTGCTTTTAAATGTGTGCTTCCCCTTAATGAGACATGATGTAGCTAGCTCTATCTGTTAATATAAGGATGACAAAAGACTGTTCCCAGTAGATTTGCAGAACCAGCTGGCTTTTGTGAAATATTATCATAAAAATTCCTAAAGATGTGTATAGTCTTTTGAGAAGCTTAAGAAAAGAGCCCTTTTCTGGTTTCCTATGAAGCGTAGAATTATTTTTCCTAGAGCTACAAAAAATGATGCTAGTATTTTAATGGAGATTTCATTGAATCTGTAAATCACTTTGGGTAGTATAGACATTTTAACAGAGTTGATTCTGCCAATCCATGAGCATGATATGTTTTTTCATCTGTTTACATCATCTGCAATTTCCTTCCTCAATGTTTCATAGTTCTCCCTGTAGAGGTCTTTCACCTCCTTAGTTAAATATATTCCTAGGTATTTTATGTCTTTGTTGCTATTGTGAAAGGTATTGAGTCTTTGTTTTGATTCTCAGCTTGACTGTTGCTGGTGGAAAGGAATGCTAGACACTGAATAACCAAAGCAACTTTAAGCAAAAGAACAAATCGGGAGGCATCACTTTACCAGACTGCAAGCTATACTACAAGGCTATAGTAACCAAAACAGCATGGTACTGACACAAGAACAGAGCCTAGACCAATGGATCACAACAGAGAACTCAGATATAAAACTATCCTCATATTTCCATCTGACATTTGACAGAGCATACAAAAACATACATTGAGAAAAATAATTCCT